GGGCTATCCCATCCTCCTTCCCTTTCTTCTGGGAGGAGCCTGGGCTACCCCATCCTCCTTCCCTTTCTTCTGGGAGGAGCCTGGGCTATCCCATCCTCCTTCCCTTTCTTCTGGGAGGAGCCTGGGCTACCCCATCCTCCTTCCCTTTCTCTTGGTCAGATGCTAAACCAAGCTGGGGGTGAGTAAGCAGAAAAAACTGACTCGGGAGACTTGGTGCGACTCATCCATCACCTTTCTCTGTGAATTTGTGCCCTGCTCTTCTGGTCAATGAAGAGTTGGTAGAGTTGGTGATCTCCAAGGACCCTGCCAGCCCTGAGCTCTGAGGAGCTAAACACGAGAACTGAACTCACCAGAGTTCACCATCACGTACAGGTTGACCTCATAGGAGACGTTCTTTGGGATGGAGACATTGAACATACAAAAAGGCTTCTCCAGGGCGATGGTGGTCAAGGTGGGGTTGTTTGTGGCAAACACGATGCTGGCCAGCTGAGGCTCCAGGTCCACTGCTGGGGAGGCAAATGGGGCAGAGGGAGGATCAGGGGAGCTGTGAGGGACCGTCCCTGGAGGCCAGGGAGTCCAAGCCCCTCATTTTACAGCTGGAGCTGTACAAGCCCAAGTCCCTCATTTTACAGCTATGAGGCTCAGAGTGTTGAAGGTACTTGTGCAGAAATAGAGCCAGTGAATATCCGAGGCACCATCTGAACCCAAATCTTCCCTGACCCCAAGTTTGGTGCTCTCTGACTGTAAGGGACAAGTTTTCAGTTCAAGGTCCACGTTCCACGTTCTCTGTTCTAAGCATCCCTTCCCAACTCCCCAACCCTCACACTGACATTCTATAGGACAGTGGGAAGGAGGTTTAGGTTATGTATGTGTCAGAGCACTTGGCTATGACAAGGAGACCTTGGACAGCTCACTTGCCCTGCGTGGCCCTAAGTCTTCTGCTCACGGACCCACTGGGTGTTCCTCCCTCACTCACTGGGACCCTTGCCCTCTCTGAGGCTTCCCAGCCTGGCACCCTGGCTTTGCGTGGAAAGGGGGCACTCACTTACCCAGGCTCAGGGGCAGCCAGCCCAGAGCCAGCACAGCCCATAGGGGACACATGGCCGGATTCTTGGGGAGAGTCGGGCAGAGTGCGGATAGGATGGAGTAGGATGGAGTAGGATGGAGTAACGGGGCCTGACTCCTGCTCCTTAGCCCTGGAGGCCCTGGAGACCTAGAGCTCCCCACGCCCCCGCCACGCCCCCTAGCCAATCGGCACCCTCGTCCCCGAGCTGCTTTGCATACCGTCCCACCCCTTCTGCTCACCTGGTGATAGGAGAGAGGAGACTAGAGGAAAGGTGGCCTGAACCGATATTTCTTGTCACTCTGCTCCGCTCCCTATGTCTGTGCCTCTGCTTATCAGGACCACGTGACGGCGATCTTGGACTGCCAGAGTTCAGGCATTGCTGGGGGTGGTAGCTCGACCGACGCCCTTCTCTAAGAGCCGGGATTTCTCTGCGGGATCAGTTTCCCCATCTCCATTCTGCCTCCCCTTCTCCCAGTCACACAGCCACACCAGACCCATGTCAGTTCTCACCTGGACTGTGGCAACGACAAAGTGAGCTCCCTGAAGGCAGGGATGACGTCATGTTTGTCTTGGCGCCACCCCTAGACCCAGAACAGTGCCTGGCACAAAGTAGACACACTTGATTAAGGCCATGTCCTGCTCAAGGACCTGCAAAAGCTGCTTAGCGTCCCAGATCCTGAGCTTGGCCTTCAAGGCCTTCACAAGTTGGCCCCCAACTACCATTTCACAGTTATTGCACCACTCCCACTCTGCCGTCCAGTCATTAACCTTCTCTTCTTGCCCTTATGCTCTGGCACATGCCTGCGATGCCCATCCTCCTGGCTTCCCTCAAGGCTCTACTCATATTCTCCCTCCTAGAGGAAACCTTCTCCTGTTCCCCCAGTTAGGTGTCCAGGCTCCTTCTCTCCTCAAATGACTATACCAAGGCTTCTCTGCCTCTAATAACTGATCAGTTCCTGAAGGCAGGGATTATTTAATTTTGTTCTGTTCCGTCTTGGTCCCTAGCCCTAGCTAGAGCTGGGCCTACTGGAGACTTAATTCTTATTGGATGAGATTAGATGTTCTGAGGCCCCTCCCAGCTCTGATCTTCCCTGTTCTGAGGCCCCTCTCAGCTCTGCCATCCTTTGTTCTGAGGCCCCTCCCAGCTCTGCCATCCCCTGTTCTAAGGCCCCTCCCAGCTCTGACTTTACCTGTTCTGAGTCCCCTCCCAGTTCTGCCATCCCTCATTCTAAAGTTCGTTTTGGCTCTTTACCTTCTGTTTTCCCAAATATGGACAGAATTTTTTTTAAAAACTCAAAGTAATAGCCAACGACTTTCAAATTGCCCTTATCCCAGACTCAAATGTATAAGCAACCTTTTACCTGCAAAGTTCTAGCATGCCTCTGATGATATCTCTGGGGTCTGAGTCCAGGCCAGTCCTGAGGCTGGTGATGAATTGACTTCCTTTAGTTCTGGGGAAAATAGGGCCACTGTGCAGGGTTTGAGATTTGTTCCCATCACTGGGGTGGTGTAAACCAAAACACCCATTCAGCAATTAGTCAGCATTGAGGGGATCTGCCATGGAAGGGCCCTCTGAGGTCCTTCAGAACAAGCCTTAATTTTACAGAGGAAACTGAGGCTATGAGGGGACATTAGGAGGGATTGGAACCTGGGATCTCTCCTTTTTTTCCTCCACTGTCTCTAGTCTACTAATAAACACCTACTGTGTGCAGGACAGGAGGCTCTGGCAGTACAAAGGCAGCTCTCTCTTTCTCCTTTTCTACAGCAATCCTACCCACTCCGGGCACATTCCAGACTTCATGATTCTATGAAAGGGGGTCCAAGTCCTTTGGTTACTGGCCTGGGGAAGCCATGTCAGCCAGTTAACACACGTTCCTTCAGAACTTACAATGTGCCAGGCACTGTGCCAAGCACTTGGCATACAAAGAAAGGCAAAAATCTTGTCCTGCCTCACAGAACTCAAAGTCTAGTGAGGGAGAGAGCAGGTGAACATCTGGGCACATGCAAAAGATAGCAGTGTGAATGACAGAGAATGGGGGCGGGGTATCGACTAGTAAGTTGTGGGGGGGTGGTGAGAGGACACCCTCAGACCCCCGTGGGAGTGCCTGGTCCATGCCTTCACACACAAATCTAAAGAAGCAAAGACTCTTGGTCCATCTTCAAACATGTGCTCTGGTATGTAAGGCTGCCTGCCTCAGTGGTGCCCCCTGCAGGGAGTGATGGGAGGCGGGAAGAGACTATCGTCCATGCTGTAAAGCTTTCCCACAACAGGGCTGGCTAATGATGCCTTCAATTCTATGGCAGGACCCAGACCATCAGGCGTGGCAGAGAATGCCAGAGGTCGAAGGGACCTTGGACATCGCCCCTCTCATTTCAGAGGAGGACGTGAGGCTCGGCACTCACCCAAGCATGTCCTGCCCTTGGGAGGGGCTGGGCTGGCATACTTTCCCCTTTCCAGGGCAGCTTTTGCTGGATGCAGGCAGTCAGAACATCAGCCTCCCCCCCTGCAGTGACATTTACAGACTCAGGCTGATGGGCAACCCCAGACCTGTCTGGCTGTCTCTGGAATGAGGACCTGAGTTATTAGAAATGAATTCCTTCTTATTGACTGGGTCTGTCAGCTCAGATGACTCACATCACAGCATCTGTAGACCTCCTAGCCTGTCAGGGTCTGTATAAGGACATATGCATGAGGTAAAAAAAACAAAAAACAAAAAACACAGTCACATGGACAAGATGGGGAGGATGAAACTGGATAACCAGTCTTGTGAAAAAGATCTGGGGTCACAATGGACCACAGGCTCAACGTGAGTCAGAAGTGTGACATGTAATTCCCCCCGCATGTGATTTTATACAGAAGGTATAATCTGAGTAGATCCCCTCCCCCATGTGATTTTAGAGGGGAGGTCATGGTCCTGGTATCATCTGAGTAGGTCAGCCCCACCCCTCCCCAGTCCTGTCCCTGCTTCTGGGGTCCCAGGTTCAGAATGACAAACTAGAGTGTTTCCAGAGGAGGGTGACCAGGATAACCAACAGGTAAGGGGCCAGAAGCTGGGAACACTGAGTCTGGAGAAGAGAAGGCTCTGGGAGAAGCATGAGAGCTGCATTCAGGGATCTGAAAGGCTGTTACGGGAAGCAGGGGTGAGTCATGTTCTGCTGGGCCCCAGAGGGAAGATCGAGGGAAACACCTGGTGGAAGGCAGAGGCAGAGGCAGAGGCAGGGTTGGGGTCGACAGAAGCAAAAATTTCCCCAAGTGGAACATGGGCCTGGGGAGACAATGAGCTCCCGTCACCAAGGCTGACAGATCACTTGGCACAGGCATGAGAGAGGCTCGGACACGGTGGGATAAGGTGCCCTCGAAGACCCCGCTTAGCTCTGAGGCTGTGGGGGGTGGGTGTATCTCCTTTCTTTAACCACAGACATTTCTGGAAAGACCCACCCACCCCTCTCCCCACTGAGCCTTCCTTTGTAAAACAGAGAAACAATTCTGCCAAAACACCCTCCCCACCTCCCCATTCCTCCATGTGAATGCTCTGATGTTTTCTTCCTTCCTTAAAACAAGGGCAGCCCTACTACTTGGCCCATAGGAAGGCAGGAGATCTACCCTGGGGCCAGAGGAGTGAGCCTCCTTGCTCCCAGGCAGGTGGTCCCAGAACCCTGGGGCTGCTTTAACTCTCCCTTCTCCCTCACCACTCACCCCTGGCCTGGAGTGAGGTCTATACCCTCCTTCAATCCACCCCACCCTGTGTACACCCTTCCAATTCTGCTAATTCACGTTTTCCCCAGAGTTGTCCTTGTTTGACCTTGGTTCTCGAAGATGACCAATGATATCATGGGGCGATGTCTGGACTTGCTTGTGAACCGGAGTTTAGCGAGGCAGAGCTGTGAAAAGTCATCAGCCTCACTCCCTCCTCCAGAATAATCAGAGTCGATTGTCCAGACAAAAGTCAAGACTGGCGATGGCCGGGATGCAGTAGGAGACCTTGGCCTTTCTGAATGAAGGATTTCCCAGGTCTCAGTTTGTGTGAGGCAACACCCATTCAATGACTAAGGGCTAGGTAAGAATTGTGACAAAAGAAGACCTAGTTTACCATCACAAAGGTATCATTCTGGGAGGGAAAGACCCTAGAATTTGTCCTTACAGAAAACAATTGTTATTTATGCTCATTCTAAGTCATCAAAATCTAAATAATGAGCAACTTTGTCTGGGGCTTGGGGGTGGGGGTGGCTATTATCAGCCATTCGATGAAAGCCAGAGTGATTTGGGTTTAAGGATAGTCAAGTAGCTCCATTTGAAATACAATAGGCTTTTTAAAAGCCTGTTTTTTCAGAGCTGTATTTTAAGAAATCACAAATGAAAACTACACAGGACAAAAACTGTTCCAGCTTTTTACAACTAAATAAATAAAATTTAAAATTTATATTAAAAAAAGCTAGCTCCCAAACACCAACATCTTTCAAAATATAACTGACCAAAACCTATATTCCTATGGACAGAATTCATATGTAAGGATATGGTGCCCTAAGTGGAGAAAGGGACCACATGCGGTGAGGGAAGGAAGAATAGGAGGAGGGGGAAGGAGGAGGAAATAGTAGCATTCTCTAACTTCTCGAATGGGCAGGTCTGGTCCCCAGAGGGGGGCTACTCCCACTCTAGAGATACCTCTTAGAGATGGTGCTGTTCCTGTTGTAGATGTCAGGTGCCCAATGCAGTCATTTTTACCAAAGGTATTTGCTCAGACAACATGATAGAGTCAGTCAACACAAAACATTCTCCTAAGAACCTGGTTCACTCCTTCCCACAAACACACCCAGCACACATGGGAGGAGTGAGCTTAGACCATGATAGCAGTGAGGCTCATGGTGAGAACTGTGTGTGACCAGGTTTAACTCCCATCACCTGCTTTCTGTATAGAGCCCTTCACTTTGTGTATGCCTTGTTTGGGTACTCCCATTAGACTAGAAGCCCTTTGAGGGCAGGGACCTTTTTCCCTTCTTTGCAACCCCTTTGCTTGGCACGGTGCCTGATACACACACAGTAAGT